AGGACAACTAAAGGGAATCCTTAGGAGCAGTTCCCTCCCAAAGTCCCAGAGGAGAAACCAATGGATGTTTGAGTGCTTAGCACTGTTCTGGTCACTGGGTGGGGGATGAGGGTGGTGGTGATAGAAAAGCAATAGAAAAAGTGGCCCTGACCTGAAGGCATTTAAAACCCAGCCAGAGAAAGAAGTCACATTCACATACACAAAAGAGATTCCCACGACTTGGGTGAACCTTGAAAGCATGATGCTAAGTGAAAAAAGCCAGACACAAAAGACCACATGCTATATGATTCCATGTATATGAAATGTCCAGAATTGAAAAATCTACTGAGACAGAAAAGGGATTGCTTAGGGCTATGGGGGTGGGGTGGGGGAATGGGGGCATGTTTGCCAAAATGTACAAAGTTTCTCTTTGTGATGGTAAAAATGTTGTAAAATCAACTGTAGTGATGGTTACACATATCATGAATATACTAAAACCCACCCAATTGCATACTTTATTATTATTATTAACATATTTTTTATTGATTTCAGAGAGGGTGGGAGGAGAGATAGAAACATCAATAATGAGAGAGAATCATTAATCGGCTGCCTCCTGCATACCCCCTGTGAGGGATCGAGCCCCCAACCCGGGCATGTGCCCTGACTGGGAATCAAACTGTGACCTCCTGGTTCATAGGTAGACACTCAACCACTGAGCCACACTGGCCGAGCTTGAATTGCATATTTTAAATGGATAAACAGTATGGTATGTAGATTGTATTTAATAAAGAAGAGAGAGAGAGAAAGAGAGAGAGAGAGAGAGAGAGAGAGAGAGAGATGAGGGTGATCAGGAGCAGTTGGAGCAGACCCTATTGGGAAGAGGGGGTAGAGGTAGAGAAAGTCTAGTGGGACAGGGTTGGCTGAAGGGAAGAAGAGGGACTTGAATTACGTCTAGAGGGGGGGCATGATTTCCAATGCTCTCCCAAGAGGAAGTAGAAACCTCCTCCCCACCCTGCCCCCACCATGGGTATATGCTAGAAGAGCCATAAATCCAGATCTTAGAGTAAAATCTAGGAGCCCATGTCAGGGGTGGGTGGGGGTGTCATAGGACAGAGTGGAGAGGCAGCACTTCCTGTGGCCACAGGGAGGGAATCTGGACATGATTGGCAGCTCTCCAGCTGGTGGCCTCATAGGCAGGTCCTTGAGAGACTGAGTGGTTGACAACAAACTCTCATCAAACGTTCACTGACCATCCACCAGTCTCTGTCTGTGAACACAAGATACAAAAAGACACAGGCCACAGCCACAAGGAACCTCAAAATCAAGTCTGCCAAGAGGTCTGAAATTTACCACAAAAAGCTTCTGTTGTAGGTCTAAAGGCTGCTGATAGGTTTATAGAATCTTAGATCCTAAGTACAGCCTCTATTTTATATGAGAGTTAAGTTCAAGTTCTATCAGCTGTGTGACCTTGAGCCAGTCATATGAACTATCTTAACCTCAATAAAATGTGATAAGGAAATCTACTCTGCCTTCACCTAGTTATCTTATGAAATAAATATGCTTTGGGCTCTGGCCAGTGTGGCTCAGTTGGATGAGTGTCATCTCATGCACCAAAGGGTTCCTGATTCGATTTCTAGTCAGGGCACATGATTGAATGGTGGGCTCAATCCCCAGTAGGAGGCTTACAGGAGGCACTGAATGGATGTTCTGCTCTCATATCGATGTTTCTCTTCCCCTCTCTCAAAAAAAAAAAAATCAATAAAAACATTTTTAAAAAATGCTTTGTAGCCCTGGCCGGTGTTGCTAAGTGGTTAAAGCATCAACCCACACACCAAAGGGTCAAGTGTTTGATTCCCAGTCAAGGGCATGTACCTGGGTTGCAGGTTCAATCCCAGGCCCCGGTCAGGGCATATGCAGGATGCAACCAATGGATGTGTCTTTCTCACATCAATGTTTCTCTCTCTTTTCCTCCCTCCCACTCTCTCTAAAAATCAATGGGGACAATATCCTCCAATGAGGATTATATATATATATATATATATATGCTTTATAATTTGGAAAATGCTAGGCACACATTGGTCATAAAATTAATGAACTACACAGAATTATTCACAATAGCTAAAAGGTGGAAATAACCCAAAGGTCCATCAACTAATGAATGAATAAACAAAATGTAGTATATACATACAATGGAATATTATTTAGCCTAAAAACAGAATGAAATTCTGATACATGGATGCACCTTGAAAACATTACGATAAATGAAATAAGCCAGACAAAAGAGACAAATGTATGATTCCACTTATAGGAGGTACCTAAAATATCAAATTCATACAGACTGAAAGAATAGGGGCAGAAGGGAGGGGACAATGGGAATACTGTTTAAAACGTACAGTTTCATACAGGGGACCTTGGCACCGTAGCCTATTTCACCTCCTCCCTATCACTCTAAGAGCAAAATAGCAGCCTAGGAGCCCTTCATTCCCATTTCCCATTTCAATTGGCATGGCGAGAAGTTCTAGAGACGGGTAGTGGTAATGATTATGCAACACTCTGAGTGTACATGCCACTGAACTGTACACTCAAAATGATTAAAATGGTAAATTGTATGCAGATTTTGCCACAATAAAAAAATTAATGAATTAAGACTGCAAAGACAAAGGATGATATATTCTAGCTTCTGGCTTGGCTAAGATTAGGAGAATAATTGCAAATATTTATTAATTCATACTATATGCTAAGCATTTTGCATATTATTTCATTTAACCCCCCTAATAAGCCTACAAAGGAGGCTTCATTGTTATCTCCACTTTATAAATGAATAAGCTGAGGCGGTTTAGGTATCTGTATCCTTTAGGCCTTGCTTTAGGTGGCAAGCAAGAGAAGATTTAACTTAAAAGGTCTGAAACCATAAGAGGACTTGTTATCTGTCTTAAGAAGGTAAGTTAAACTGGGGCAGTTCAGGGTGGGTTAATTCTTCATCTATCAATGAGGACCCGGTTTCTTCCTTTGTATAAATTACATTTATTTATTATTATTAAATATGCTAAACACATAGAAAAGAGAAATAGAATGAACACTTGAATACTCCCCACTCAACTTAATCACATCTTAATATGATCATTTTTGCTCAAGATTCTTCCCTCCTCCACCTTAAAAAAATACAGATACTGTTAAGTCCTCCTGTGGACCTTACCACCTCGAATTCCTCACCCTCCCACCTTCCCCATAGGAACCACTATCATGAATATGGTGTATATCACCCCCACACATAATTTTATGCTTTCGCTAACATATTTGTGTGTCTTCATAAAGATGATATAGTATTGTTTTTGCAGATTTCTAAATTTCTTTTTTTTAATTTTCTAATAAGACTAAATTTATTCAATAACCTAGTAAAAGTTTTGAGTATAAGTATTCAACAGTATAAAAAGTACAAAACAGATTTGTAGATTTCTAATATATTAATACAAAGTGCATGACTACATACAGTACATCCTACAGGCAAAGAGACGTGGAAGGGAAAAAGAAGACTGTGGTTGACTGTGGTCTAGTAATAAATAAATAAATACAGAAGTAGAGATGATCCATATTATAGTATATTCTACCACCGACACTGTAGCCAAAATGTACAAAATAAAAAAATAAAAAAAAGGACCATTTCAAAGTAACTCGGGAGGAAGAGGAGAATGGCTGAGACTCTTGCAGTGCACCTTCGAGGCTGTGGGAGCGCCGCCCCAAACCACTGTGTTGTCTGTACAGATGGTGGCTTGTAGTTTCTTCCAAAGGAATATAAAATTTTAAGTTTAAAATAAGAACTATAAAACTACAGGGTGCCCATAAAAAGTAGCTCACTCCTTATTGTTATTCATACTATCCAATTTTTAAAATCCGGCTTTAAAAAGAAGCACCGAGTCATTTTATTATAAGGTCAGCAAATGATCCTCGTTCTGAAAAGTATGAACTGGTAATATTCTTCCTGAATTGATAGAAAAGAGGCAATGAGAGTGCTTGGGTTTGAGTTCAAGTAACAGGCTTTTCATAAAAATTTTAGAACCGAAGGGCCCCACATTCAGGATTTATCATCTAAAACCTCAATGTTCAGAAAACCTGACTACAAAAAGCCAAACCCACTCAGCATTAACACACCTCTTTTCTTTTACTAGCATTTTACTTTAATATAGTGGTGGGGGGAGACCCTAAAACCCTCATACATTAAAACAAGTTGAACAAACACTCTACACAGATAAAACCTTCACAAAGGTCAACTGAAGTAATCCAGAGCTAAAACTGAATTGTGTAGATTTTCAATGAAGTCACCGGTAAGCAACACGAGCCAAAGTCAATCATTTACACACTCGGCGAGCCCTCTGAGAAGCGTCAAAGGTCGACTGAAGTAATCCAGAGCTAAAACTGAATTGTGTAGATTTTCAATGAAGTCACCGGTAAGCAAGACCAGCCAAAGTCAATTATTTACATACTTGGCGAGCCCTCTGAGAAGCGTGCCCCCAGAAGCACCAACCTTTGTTATTTTTATGCTATCCTGAAAGCCTGCACGTTTTTCAGATATCTGAACATGTTTCATAGAGTGTGTTCTCTCCCATGTGGTAAAATAAAGCTTTGGTACTATTTATATTAAGATTGCTTATCCTGAAGACTTGACTTTTCCCCAAGAAGAGCTTTGATTCTGCTTTAGAAGTTTCAGATAAATTAAAATCTTCATCAAATAGCAATATGAAGGAGGTGACACAGGATACAACATATACAGTCCAGTTACCTCTTTGTATATTTAGAAATGACTCCTTCAAGGTATTTGTACCAGAGAGCTTATTCTGTCCTGCTTAATATTCAGAAGTACAGGTTTGAATCCTCAGAACCTTGGCAAGACCTTAATATTTTAAAATTATTAACAACTACCTCAAGGGGCAAGTCCAGGTTACTAGTTTATGACAAATTTATTATCATGAAGGAAAACAAGTGTAGTCAGCCATATTTAAAAATGCCCCAACCACTGCTCTCAATATAGAAAGACTAAAACTACGTACGTTTATCATACAACAAATCCCATCTCTGTCCCCTGAAGTCCCCCTAGTTTCATTCATGAGAAGGGGATTTAAAAGAAAAAGACTTAAAGAGCACTTTACAGCAGCATTCAGCTTTCCTACGAAATACTCAGCATCTTAAATATTATGTACACGTCTGTTTTTCCTTTTAGTAAGCTAGACACTGGCTTCAGAGTTGGTGGAACTTGTGGAAGTGGAGGAAAAAATAACCCATTCGGAACTATTCTAGAAATTGTCTTTTGGCAGAATAGCAGGTATCCAAGTGAAAAACAGGAAGGTCGTTTTGTTGCTGTGTTTTGGGTGTGTTTTTTTTCTGAAATTTCAATCATTTCCTGTTCCCCTTCTACATACACCTCAGTCACCACTCCTGGGTGGAGATGGGCAGAGGCTCTGGGCCGGGCTCCTCCAGCTTCTCGGCCGCCGCCTTCTTGTTGCTGCAGCGAGGCTTGAAGAGGTGCGTGTCAATGAGGACTTCCCCAGAGCGGCCTTTATAGATAATCCCACAACATATTTTCTGTCTTTTCCAGTACGTGAGATCTAAAAAGGAAAAAAATTGGCGTTCTGCTGGAGCCCGAAGCCACCTCTGTATCTGAGCTGTCATCTGACTGGTTACTGTAACAAGGAGATTGAGCTGGGGAGGCACTTGAGGTGGTACCGTGAGCATCAGAATTATGACGTTTAAATTTCTTCTGTAGTTTGCTGATCTGGTTGCTTTTTATCCTGTTTCCAGATAGAGTTTTCACTTTCTTTGGTTTCAGTGTAGTCTTCAGGCTGGGTCCTGCCCTTGCATCTACCACGTGATTCCAGTTGTTTTTTTTTGGATCCTGCTGGCAATTTCCTCCATCTTTTCACAAGCAGGACACAGGCATTACAGATGTCTCCTGAACGTGTCTCATGCAACCCAAAACAGCTCTGGAAATCCTTCTCATAGCGTTTACTGTCCGTGAATCGAGAACTGGAGGACTTAGCTCTGCAAATACAGCAGCCTTCTATACTTCGGTACATCTTTGGCTTGTGAAAACCAAACATCTTTTCTTCTAGGCAATAGTCTTCCCAAAACAGCCGTTCCACGCGCAGTAATGTTCCCGAGGTGCGGAGTGCACGCCAGGCCAGCCCCCCCTGCCACTCGCTCCCTCCTCCTCAACTGCCTTGTCTAGAAAGACTGTCTCCTGCAGTTCTCTCTAAATTTCTTTATGTGCTATCATATTGTGTATTTCCTCCTGCCATTTTTTTTAATTCAACCTTACACTTTTGGGTTAATGCATATGGATACATGTGGCTCTAGTTCATTGATTTTAGTTGCTATATAGTATTCCATATCTGAACTTGACCACAATTCAGCCCTTCTCCTGTTGGTGGACATTTTTATTGCTACGAAGTTGCCACACTGTATGTTTCGGTTCTTGTCTCACTGTGCTGTGAGAAAGTTTCTCTAAGGTGTATACTCAGAAGTGGAATTCGTAGGCCCAAGGGTATGAACATCTTCAGCTTACTAGATATTGCTAAATTGCTTCCTCAAATTGCTCTTATTCATTTAAGCTCACACTAAGCAGTTGAGCATGTCATTAACACCCTAGTATGAATCAGCAAATTCAACCACTTTCCTTTGGTCTGCCATCTGGGAGCTGAGCAATTTTATTTGACCCTGAAATAATTTTCTCCTGTAGCATTGCATGGGATCTTGCCACTGCTGCCCATTTCCACCAAGAGCAAAATAGCAGCCTAGTAGCCTTCATTCCCTTTTCCCAGTTTAATTTAACATTTATTGGGCACCGGCTGTGAGCAAACACTGGGAAAACTCAATGCCAAAAAGGACTCATTTCTGGCCCTCGAGGCACTTGCGGTCTCATAGACTAGAGAGTCTCAACTATGCAAACCATCGTCCAAACCACATGAACCACCCATGAGCTGCAAACAAGACTCTGTGGGTGCTTCACAGGAGTGAGTCTTTATTTCCTTTTAAATAAAGATTTTTGTTTCGATTCTAAAAGTAAAGAGTCTTTTTTAAAAGAGAAAAAATTGGCAATCCTAATGCCCGGAGACAATAAATGTATTTTCTGGTCAGTGCCAGGGTGACTTGTTCTGAATGGGGAATGTGGTCAGGGGTGGCACGTGGACTGTGAGGAAGAGGAGACAGCAGGAGCAGTGCAGGGCCCTTGTGATCTGGAATCTGACACCCTTGATTTCAGATAACAGCCCCTCCCTTCTGGGGCTGGAAATTACGGTGTGAATGGGGAGTTTAAGTGCTGGCCCAGCAAGTCTGGCCAGTCCTGTCACCTCTGTGGGCCTCAGTTTCTCCATCTTTAGAATGATAGCCTCAAGGTTTTTTCTAGGTTTCACACTTGGATGGTCTGGTCTACAGCTGGCAAACTGGATTTGTTTTTTCAAAGTTAGATTATTCCAAATGAAGGGAAACAAAGCCAAACCCTGTCCATCTCTGACAACAGCCCTGTTCTCCACCCAGAGTTGTCTCTCACAATCCTAGTGCTGCTGACTCTGACACTGGAAGTCTGTCTGCCTCTGGGGACCCACAGAAAGTGCTGAGCGAGCCTGGCCTGTGACCTGTGCTCAGTGGAGGGTCATGACTGTCCTATGGCCCTCCTGGTCTTGGTGGGACATTCCCCGAGTGGAGGGCTGCCTTCTGGAGGCCTAGGGGCTCTGGCACCTGCTGCCCTTTCCTCACTCACAGGGACCCCCCAAAAGGGTAAGTAGTAGTCCCAGAGGGGAGTAACTTATCCAACGGGGCAGCGAAGCTGGAGCAAAACCCCCAGAATTCCAGCTCCCTGGCTGCCCCTGGATGGTGTGCAAGGCCTGTCCCCTCAGCCACACCCTGCCCTGTCCTCACCAGGGTCAGGTCTCACACCTCATGATTCACTCTGCAGGCCTCGGCCTCTTGCCTTGACCCTCAGGACTGCCTGCCTGAGGAAGTCTATGCAGGCCGATGTCAGAAGAACACCCATCCTCTAAACAGCCCCGCCCGGCTGGCTACCACCCGCAATCGCGGAGTTAGAAATTCTGCTCTTTGATACTTTCCTAAACAGACAAACATTTTGTCTTCTCAGTCACAGGGAGTAAGTTCGGAAAGGCACTTTCCCAAGAGCGATCTTCTGTGGGGGAGGGGAGAAGGAAGTGTCCCCAGGATGTGCCCAGAGCTGGAAGGGAGCTGAGAGGGAACAAACAGCACAGAAAGGCCTTCCCAGGATGCTTCTGCCTCATGGTTGTACCCAGAGCCGGATCTGAGTGTGCTCTTCTGATTTTGAGAGAAAAAGATAGAATACACTTTAATGCTTCTCCTTTGTCAATTGAGAAACGAGCAATGTGTCACAGCAAAGTGCCTTAGACATTGGAGAGAGCACGGACTTTGCAAAGAGACAAACTTGAGTCCGATCTTGGTTTTCTCACCAACTCAATGTGTGATGCTAGACAAGTGACGGCTCCTCTAAGTTTCAGTTTCCTCCTCCATTGAAATGGGCCCAATAACACCCACCTTAAAGGGCTATTATCAGAATAAAATGAAAGAATATATCAAAGGTACTTAGCCCAAGGCCTGCACATAGTAGGCCTACACTAAAAGCAGTCTTCCTTTCTTCCATCCCTCTCCCCTGTTCTCCCATCTGTTTGGATGGTGAAGCAGATGGTTCTTTGGTTGAAAGCAACGGAAGCTAATTGGGTCCAGAAACCAGCCTTGAGAACCAGGACCCAGGAACGGGTCAGGAATTCAGTCATTTAGGGTGCTGGAATTGGAATAGGCACCAGCCTCCCATCAGTGGGTCCCTCTGCACAAGATTCTCAGGAGAGAGCATCTGATTGGCCAAGCTTGGGTCAGACAGCCATCCTTGGCCTTGTGGCACTGAGATGGACGGTTACTACAGGACACATGGAACCCGAAAGAAGCAGTTCCCCAAGGGAAAGCAGAGAGACGAGAAGCTGGCTGGGGAAAATAGCAGGTATTTGGCTCTACAGATGGAATTTCCTATACAGATGAAGACCACTGTAGAATGTTCTTTGAATTTAAAGCAGAGACAGAACTCCAACATTGAAAAGGCCAAGAGAAAGCCAGGGCTTAAATTTGCTATAGTCCCAAATCCCAAGTCAAGGGTGGGATGGGACAGGAGCAAAGCAGCTGAAAGCTAACTGGGTGTGGAGTCAGGAAGTTCAGGTTCAAGTCCCGCTCTGCTAGTTACTAAACGAGAATCAGGTGGGTTACATGACCTCTTTGGACTTTCCTTTCTTCATCTGTACAATGGGGCTGGATCCTCACAGGAATGAGGCTTAAATGAAAACGTGCCTTTGAACCTATAACCTGCACTACAGATATAACAGCCGGGGCTTATTATTTGTAAAAACTCTGAATTTGAAACCTGGAACCTGACCTGCATTTGCAGTGTCTTGGGTTACATCACTATTGGCGACTTTGCTTGCTGAGAATGCAATCACCTGAGATACTCAATTTCAGTCTTGGCTATTGGGAAAGTATGTAATAGGGGTTCAAGGTGAATCACAGTGTTCTATTGGAAGCATTAGAAGCCCAGGCTGCCCTTGTGAGCCAGTGAGGGGAGAGGGAGCAGGAATAATCAGTCAGACTGGAAAAGTCTCCCTTCCCTCTGTCACAAAGCCCTGGGCTTATCAGAGCCCGGGCTCTTAACCTTTTTGAGGGCATGGCCTCCTTTAATTGTCTAGTAAAGCTTATAGCACCTTCTCAGAACATTATTTTTAAATGTGAACACTAAAATATAGAGGATTATAAAAGAAATCAATTATATTGAGACATGGTTATAAAAATATATTTTTAAAAAATGAATGTATAATATAATCAATGTGTCTCCTCATTGACACTCTCAATAGAAAAATCTAGCACTGGGCATAATAACTGCTAGAATTTTTTAAAAATATATTTTTATTGATTTTAGAGAAGAAGGGAGAGGGAGATAGAAACATCAATGATGAGAGAGAATCATCAATTGGCTGCCTCCCGCACACCCCACACTGGGGATCAAGCCCGCAACCAGGCATGTGCCCTTGGCCAGAATTGAACCCAGGACCCTTTAGTCTGCAGGCCGACACTCTATCCACTGAGCCAAACCTGCTAAGGCATAACTGCTAGAATTTTGAAGTGATAATAAGTATAAATCATATTTTGAGATACTTTCAAGGAATTATAATGTGATAAGAAAATATCAATGATTTCTGCTAGTGACAAAGTTACAGATATTGCTAATGCTGCTAAGGCTTATTATCTGCATTCAAAATTAAAGGAAAAGCTAGATATTGGATAGAGATTAGTGATAATAATGATGTAATTTTTTAAATCCCGTACAAATGGACCCTGGATTACCATGCACAGATACAGTTAAAGAATGTTTGGGCTCAGAGAGACTTATGAGATGCTGATGAGTCAGAGACCAGCCCTCACCTACCAGCAGGTTGTAGCCATGGGCCTTGTTTGCATTCAGAGTGTACAGTGGGGCTAGTGCCTGTTTTTCCTAGAGCAGTGATGGCGAACCTATGACACGTGTGTCAGAGGTGACACGTGAACTCATTTTTTTGGTTGATTTTTCTTTGTTAAATGGCATTTAAATTTATAAAATAAATATCAAAAATATAAATCTTTGTTTTACTATGGTTGCAAATATCAAAAAATTTCTATATGTGACACGGCACCAGAGTTAAGTTAGGGTTTTTCAAAATGCTGACACGCCGAGCTCAAAAGGTTCGCCATCACTGTCCTAGAGGCTTGTCTTTTCCAGCTCTCCAAGGTCTTGCCACATCTCCAAGAGCCTGAGTTCTGAAGACCCTCAGGGATGAAAAGACCTTTACAAGTCTTGGGTTGACCACAAATAAGACCCAAACCCTAGTTTCCAGCCCAGGAGTCTAACCACTGTTGAGTAACATGTGATAATTCAACCCAAATGGTATGGGCATAAGAGGCTGGGGAGAAGGCTTTTCTTAAAATTATTCTTTTATTCTTTTTTTTATTTTTATGTTACTGATTTGAGAGAGATTTGTTGTTCTACTTATTTATGCATTCATTGGTTGAATCATTTTTTAAATTTAAATTTTATATTCTTGACACTATAGCAGATCTCCCCAATTTTCCCCCCTTTGTCCACCTTCACTCAGCCCCTGACCCCACTTCC